CAGCCCCGCACCCAGAGCGGCCCACGGGCCTCCCCGCGGGTCACGCAGCCGCGGCCGCCTGTGGCTGCTCCTCGGGCAGCGCTTAACGCGGGACGGGGCCCCCGCGCATCTCCCAAACGGGGCCTGATCGCTGGAACCCCGAGAAACTTGGTTCTTCCTGAGGAAAAACTCCTACCCCGGGGCTCCGTCTCTCCGTTTGCACCCGTGACTGCGAGAGGCCCACGTTCGCTCCGCCGAGAGGGAAAACCCTGCTGTGCCGCACTGAGCCCCGCGGATCTGTTCAGCACCGACCACCGATGGTGATTCTGGCTTTTCAGGTGTTTCGAAGAATTGTTTCTAGCAGGACTGAGTTTAAAGGATTAGCTTTATGATCTAAGTGTTAAATCTTCACGTACGAGACAGAAAAATCAGGCTTTTCAAGTACAGCAAAATAGAATGTCCACTTTTAAACTGACACCTGATGGAATTTGCTGGTTAAATTGATTACACGCAATTCATTCATTTTAAAAGCAGACTGCAAATGCAGCAAGAGTGACAACTTCTGCTACACCACACTGCACACTACCTGCAGACACATTTCAAACTTGAGCATCCACCGCCATGAAGTCACCAGGGCCGACCACTGCTCCTGCAACATTCATACGTGTTTTCTCAAACCCGTATCTTCTTTTCTGTTTCACAGATTTAACCAAAACAGATGCCCAGATCTCAAAGAAGCAGGGAAAAAACCCCCACAACTAGTGCATGTAAGTTACATACATAAAGTCACCCTTTGTATTAGATAGGAACCGCTAACACGTTTGTCTCGCCACATACACATTTCCACTTGTGGGACTTTCTTGCTTCAATTACTTCCATTGTGTCACTTCATCACAAGTCTGACTCTATCTCAGACCTATACAGTACTTGGGAACGAACGTGGCATGAATGAAAATTAAAAACTCGGCTGTAACTTTTGTTGACTGAGAGTTGTAATTATTTCAGAATCAAACAAATATGGAATCATTTGAGTACAGCTTAATCAGGCATACAGTCAGAACATGATATAACCAAATAAATTATTTGCCTGACATTAGAATTTCATGAATTAACAAAGCTCTATTTGCACTGATTATGATCTTCCTCGATAAACTCCCTTTACTTTCTTTTGTATTTTGTGTAACTCTGTGGCCCCATCTACTGGACGGCTTTACCGTAAAGGCTGGAGAAGAACATCCTTTTTGTACCCGCAAGTATCTCTACAAAACGCAAGTTATTACAGGAACTTTTAGGCAGGTTTATAATGCACAATAAATGTAGGAGCAGAGTCTTTTTCTTACTCTTTCCATAGCATATGGGTGGAGTTCATCATACAGCTTGCTGAGGTTCCATTTGAGGCTGTTTCTAATGAATGCATCTCAATTTTCCTCACTTCTGTTAAGTCTTGTCATTTGCTTATAAGCAAAACATGACTTTGTTTATTTATTCTTGGTTGCAGAATTTTGAAAGACATCCTTTAAACTTTGGTGTTTATTTCATTTGCTCTTTAACACTGAGGCTGAAAGAAGGGCCTATTTAAATTAGCCCTTGTTAAACCTGCGATGTGAATTAGGTCTTGTTTCAGAGAGCATATTTTACTGAGCTACTCGGGGGAAAAAAACCCCAAAATCTGCTGAAGCCTTTTTTTCATTGGAATTTACTGATTAAACTTATTGAAATCAGCTACTGGTCTAGGTCTATGACCTCCTGGTGGGCTTTAGGTTCTGCTTAAAACAAGTCTGCCTGACTCTTCAGCCTTCTCCAGACTGGAGTTTTTGGTATTTACGCGTTGGTGGTCAAGAGTCCCAGGACAGTCCTACTGCACTCCTTGCAATTTTACTGTTGTTGCAAATATAGTATTATATGTAAATATTAGTATTAAGGGACATTTTCTGTCTTTTACAAGCATATATAATATGGAAAGAAAGAAAGAAAGAAAGAAAAAGAAAGAAAGAAAGAAAGAAAGAAAGAAAGAAAGAAAGAAAGAAAGAAAGAAAGAAAGAAAGAAAGAAGCTAAATAATTTCTCTTTACAAAATGTTTCAAAACAGAAGTGTTCAGTTTATGTCTGCCTCAAGCTAACATGTATTATGCCAACATAAGCAGGCTTGTCAATGTAATTTTATTCCTACTAGAGATTTTGCTGATGTCTCTATGTCAATTACAAATATAATATCACATCCCTAATTGCTATAGCTATGCAGAGAATTCTGCAATCTAGTTTTGCTAGTTTTAAAGTTCAGAGTTATATATCATTAATTTAGTTTTTTAAAAACCACACCTTTACCTTATTTACTCTTCAGTCCTGTTTTCAAGGAATCACACACAGAGCACATTGCGGGAAATACTTAAAGCAGCTATCATATGCATAAACTGATTTATTGATGACTTGTATGTGCTGTTATTCGTTATATGAAAATTATAAACCATGGTGGTGATTTCTGGTTTAGTTTAAAAACGAGAGAAATTCTTAAAAGATCATTATTCAACAGAGACTGGCTGTGGAGTTGCAAAGTATTCCCTCCCCCATCTCCCAGGAGCTGTATTTACTCTCAGAGTCTTCTCCGGAAGTCTATTTTAGTGTGATTCTTGTTATCCAGTACAACAAAGATACAATCAGCGGGATTCTCGCTGTAGCTCATTAGACCAGATGCTGGTTACGGCCTGTGCTGGTAGCTCAACTTGAACAAACAGCTAGAGGGCTAAATCAAATCCCTTCTGCATCATCTCCATTAGCTCATTGTCCTCAGATAACAGCAAACCTAATCAGGAGCTGTTTGAGCAAGCTAAATTAATGTTTGGGACCCGGTCTCACTAAGAACACAGAGCTGTCCCCAAATATCTACTGAAGTAATTACTGTTTTATTTTTTAAAGGACCATACTTAATTTGCCTGTGTAGAAAAG